TCCAAAGTACAGATTATGATCGCACCATTATGAGTGCCCAGTCGTACCTTTCTGGCCTCTTTCCACCAACTAGCAGCCAAATTTGGAACCCTGAGCTTCTCTGGCAACCCATTCCAGTTCATGTTTTTCAAAAATCAACAGAGCGGGTGAGTACTGGCTAGATGCTTCCTATAATATCTTAAACTTTCACAGAAGCAAAAAAGAGAAAAAATGGAAATAGCTAAAAAATATTTTCTATGCTTTTTGAGTTCAATCTAGTAGAAAATATCAAATGCAGCTACTGGTTGACAAGTATATCATAGGTCAATTGTAATAGCTACATGAAAATCCTCCTTCTGTAGTTGCAGAATACCTCAACTGTCATATACACTACCATTTTCTTCAAAGCACACTTGTCTTGACCAGAACACTTTTGGACAGTATGCTAGGGAAGATGCCCTAAACCCTTCCAGGAAACAAATGCTTTTCTAAGCACCAATCCTCTCTTTGGCAAGTTTGTTTCATAGTTTATTCAAGGAACTGAATTTTATCCAGGCACTGTAATGACCTCAAAATTACACCTTCCTATTCTGGTAGCACTTAGGCACTCTAATTAAAGAGAAGGGTCCTTTTATGCTCAGTACTATAGAAACGTTTAATGAAATCCTAGCACTTCTCTTGCATATCTTAAGAGCAGACCCACCTGAATAATAGGTCCTATAGAAGTTTTACTTTACTTTACTTTAGCTCTCTCTGGCTGACTCATGTTTACATTTTAATTTCACTTGTTCTTCTGACAAGGACTGTGTAAGGAACAGTGTGTCCAACAAGGATGAAAAGCTACTGAATGTAATGACAGAAAGCCTAATTTTCTTCTGCCTTTGAGGACAGAATTTGACTTTAAGGAAATTTATGCAAATCCCCTATTAAATAACTGCCTGTCACCAACATCAGAGAATAGATTCTGTCATCAGGAGGTGGCCACACCTGACTCCCTTTGGTATTCCTCCATTCTTTGAGACCATGCCTGAAAGCAGGTACAGAGTGAAAGGGTTTCCACAAACTGGATTAGGCACAATGTGATTCAGCTAGAAATTTAGCCCTGTTCCTCAATGGAAAAGAATGCTGTCACTGCCATTTAAATGTGGGACACCAGGGGAAGTTCTTTCACCAGCAGACCAGAAAAGCATCAAAGTGGTCAGGGCTTTGCCCAAACAATACCTCAAAGCCCTTAGGGGAATCACAATGCAGTGTAATGACCCGTTTGAAGAAGGCAAGCTCATTTGTAGGAGTCTCTAGTACCTCATTGTTTGTGTGGCTGCTCTGAGTGGGTATTGATGTTTCACTGAATCACACCTCTGCAGCAACTCAAAATTCCTGTTATATATGCAAATCACCTGGAAAAAACATTGTTCCCTTGTTAAACCAAGCAGATGTTTGAAGGCATTTTCAAGCCCCAAGCAACACAAAGTGGGAAATTGAGGCCAAGTACAGTCTTGTAAAAAAAGGTAATCACAGTTTATTTTTAAGCCACTGAGATCTATCAAGACTTGACAGGCAACAGTACTGAGTAATGCTTAATGAAGTCAAAGGGAGTGGTTTAATTAATAACACCTAGAGAGGGATAATTAAGCCATGCCGCAAGAGAAACATTTGTTATTGTGTAATTAAACAACATTCCCCAGATTCATATTGCAACTTTGAGCCTTCATCCTCTAGTGTGCTGCTGTTACAGAAAAATTGTAGTCTTGGAAATATGCCCAAGTGAAAATGGGCTAGAGTCGGTGGCTACTGCAAACTTCACGTTGATTAAACAAAGAGAAAAGAGATGTGCAGTCTGTTAATGCTCACCCCAAGACAGAGTAAACACTCTTGCACATACATAAGCCACAGATATAGAAGTTATTTTGTCCACTGTATATTAAGTCAGTTCCTTGACATGATTTGTATGGTTATAGGCTAATATTAGTGCTGGGTCAAAAATGCTCTAATGATGTGACATTAAGTGCTGAACCAGTACAAGCTTGTTTTGCTCATCATGACTTTTTACTGACACTTTATGCTGGATCAGGTATCATTTGTCTCTCTGTAATTGGTATAAACCATATTGGCTAGAGCACAGTGTTTGAAGAATGCATGTATTTACACGTGGTTCATATCAAATATGTACTATCAGGTAACCCTGTAATGCATACACTTGCAGTTATTAAAAGTGAACCGTATCCCTAAATAAGAATAGAGCCATTAGGCTCATAGCTTTTTGAGATTTCAGGAGTACAATTTATTTGTCACCCTTGTTTGGAGTTCTGTCCACTAAGTGGTACTTAAAATGCTTACCATGATCCACTTATCTCCAGAGATGAGAGCAGGATGTGTAGATGCAAAAGCAGTTCAGGTTCTAGGACCAGGTGGAGTCAAGTTGCATCTGGGGGGATTCAGAAATTAAGGAGGAAATGGTAGCCTGATCATGCACCCTGATCCAATCTCCCACTAGACACACGTAATTGCTTTTTGCCAAAATAAGCTCAACTGACGGAAATCAAGCTATCCAAAGAAGTAGCCACTGAAAAGCCAAACTACCACAGTCCATTGCCTATGTTAACCAACTTCATGAATAAGGCAGCCAAGCAAACAATTAAGGAGTAACTGTTGCACAGCCATGGATCTCTCTAACAAATATTACATCATCAATCTCAGTAACAGAAAAAACCAGAGGGGTGTTGATAATTTTAGAACTATTCTAACTTTTACTTTTCTGGTTTCAGAGGCTGAACTTTCCTCTGCCTGACTGTCCCCGTTTTGATAAACTTCAGAATGAAACACAAACATCCAGTGAATTTCAAAATAGAATACAACCATACATGGTAAGACAAAATAAAAAGAAAATAAGAAAGAAATAAAAAGTAAATGAGAAGAAGGAAAGTAACTAAGATTCAGAAATTATGGAATTGCATCGTTTCCTTTTGCTAAAATGCAAAAATATATTAAAAAAAAATTAAAATCCAGAGGACTCTTACAATCAGAAATTTAGGCCAACAGGATCAAAAAGTATGTTTGATATGTTATATATTTCTCACACTTTTCTACAATAATCTTTTAAAATGTGAATTTAATATTAATTTTCTGAGACTACTTAGAATTCAATTATCTGTGCGGAAGAGAAATTTCTGGATGCAGCAATTTCTAATTTTACAGGGTAGCACAAAACTAATTCTAAAACATCTGAGAAATCTGAAGCTTAGAAAGGTTTATGCTTTCCCGCTCTGACTTTCTGAAGTTGGCACTGCAGCAGAGAACTAAAGCAAGCCTAACCAGGAGAACACTCTGATTTATGTAAATTTCTCTGAATGCATTTTGGATCCATCACAAAACATGCTTCTGTTTTGGCCCTGACACAAATCTTCACAGTCAGAGATTCAAAGTTTTCATTCCAGTGCTGCAGCAGGATGGTATACTTGCCTCAAGCAACCATGTTCATGTGGATAATAATTGCTCTAGATCGTGGTTACTGCTGCTCTCTTGTTTGCCTACCATTGCACTTTGTAATGGTATGACTGCACAAATAAAGCAGGGGTCTCAGGTCCTCATACCCTGACTACACTCAAAGTCACTTCAGGCTTACTGCCTGGGCTAAACCTAGTATTTTTCTTTTTTTTTGGTTTATTTCCAACCTTTCCCTAGCTCAGCTACTCTGGTCAGCCTCACTCACCTGCAATGGGTGGTGAACTATGACTTCATAACTATCCTCCATCTCAGCTGATAGTATGAACAGGTAACATGGGAATAAGGGATATTAAGGTATCCCTTTATTCTTCTGTGGTAGCACATAAAAAGAATCTCTATGGGGATTGTTGTGGAACTATTAGATATTCAGAACTATTAGATATTCAACTCCCCTTCAATGGCAGAAGTAAAACCTACTTTCCTTTCCAGTTTCTTTTTGCCTCACCTCTTTTCATTTTTGTATTTTCTCCTCATCTTTTTTCTCATGTTCCTTTTCCCTTAGTACCTTCCTCTTCCTTATCTCTGAAGGCTTGAGATGACTGAGGTAGCTTCTTGAAACAGTCAGAAGAGGGAGAGAAGAGTGTGACAGAGAGCACACCAAACTTATCCGTAGCAAGGACAAGAAAAACAGCGTCTGAAACAGAGACCAGTACCTTGAGAAGTTACAAAATGAAAACTGCAACCAGAATCTTCTGCTACAGGGGTTTCACTTGTGAAAAATTAAACAATATTGTGATGCCAGGCGTTAATGGATCTATATGCATATATGTTCCCTATGTATTGAATATTTGTTGTATATTCTTCACTCTTCCCACCAGGATTTTATACAAACAATGGCTGTTAACACAGGACTTGAACTAAACAATCTTAAAATACTGGATAATTTCCAGCTCTGGAATACATACGATACTCTACATTGTGAGGTAACAATAGGTCAATAGATGCTGGGGAAGAATATAACTTTAATGCTGGGTTTCAATTACACCATGACAAAGTGCTTTCACAGGAATGAGTTGCCTTCTCTTCTGGATCTGCTTTTTTGGTTTTGTTTTTATATATATATTTGAATATAAGTTATAATTTAGTACTTTGGTATCAGATAACCCAAAAACATGGTTTACAGCTTGGGAAACTGTTCTTTCCATTTCATGTTTTATCCTGAAGAACAGACACCAAAATTCATTCCCATTATTCCCTTTCTTCCTTCCCAATATCATGCAAGAGAATTATTTGAGCATGCTGCCTATGATATATTTGTGATTTTTAACAGAGAAATGAAATTACCAGCCTTAACCTATCAACAGGTAAACATAAAAAATTTTGAACATGAGAGATAAGATCAAGATCCAGCGGTTGAAAATTTTTGAGGTGATGATTGCTACCAGTGAAAAAAATCAGACTGATCATAAGAATGGATTCCATTCAGCCTCAGTCATTACCAGCAGCACATGAAGCCTTTTGAACATATCCTCCACACACTGAGGATATTAAATGAAATAAGACACTGTCACTCTTACCTGACTGGAGAGTGACACTTGTCTGTAATTGGTCAGTGATAGAACTGGTATCTGGACAACTGTATGGAAAGGCAGAAAAAATTAGAGATGTATAACCTGAAGACCCAGAGGAAAGGAAGAGGACAAGATACATGCCCGCGATATTTCCCACCAAAAACATATATCTCTATAGCAAAAAGACATTATACCTACAAAGAATACCCTTCGCACAGGTGCTTCTGCTTTTCCTATACACCCACTTCAGGTTGATCTCCACCCCCACAAAGTGCATTTCAGGGCATGCTGGGGAGTAAAACCACACTGGGCAAAGCATTGCAGGACAGCCTCAGAGAGTCTAAACTTAGCAGTGTGAGCCTAAGCAATAGGATGATGGAAACCAGTGAATTATAAACATTATTTTGTTTTCCTTTATCACTAGGGTATTCACAATTACACCCTCCCTGTATGGGCCACCAAAGATGTAATTGACAAGATGGAAAAACTGGCAGAATTGTCCTTATTATCACTATTTGGGCTTTATAAAACAGAAGAGAAATCACGACTACAAGGAGGTAAATAAAAAAATGCATAGTTCTCAGAAAGGAGGAGACAATGCTTATAACAAAAAGCAACATCCTGTCACTCATGCAAAATTATTCACACAGAACCTTCATTTGAAACTATGGAGATTGGATGCCATATTAAGCATTAAAATATGTGCTGAACACTGGCACTTACATGGATGAGATAGTGCAACAAGGTGTAAAAACTTCTGTCTTTTGTTATTCCAGATTTTTTAAGAGATTAGAATTTTAAGAAATACTATAGAAATATAAAGGAAAAAAATCAGGCCCTCATGGGTAAAACCATTACTGATCTTATAGTAGGTTAGGTTAAGTTCTGCTTCTCCAACATTTATTCTAATTGTTTCCAGTTCTTTGTTTTTTCCCTTGATGTGCTGGTTATATATTGTGCCAAAACCTTGGCAACACATTGGTAGCCCTCTGAGTGACTGATACAAAGCTGCTCCAAAACAGTCTGATCAGCAGAGAAGATGAGAGATTCCAGTTATGTCTATACTGCAAGAACTGCAACAAATGCTTAGCTCCAAAATAGGGGTGCATAGGCTATGCATATTCTGACACTGCTTCAGGAAACAATTCAGGAATTTGTCACATGATCCCCAGGTGTCCATGAGCAGGAAATGCAAACAATTGAGCTTGAATATCTGCAGGCTGGAACATTTGGGGCTAGGCTTTCTAATACATGTACTGTGCAGTCTAGCTCTAGGTAAAGAATTATTAGCAGACTCATTGTCCAGGCATATATAGACCTCTGGATCCAGCCATACAGTAATTACAGGCTCGAACTGGCATTAAAGCCCACTAGCTGGCAGATGACCATATAATCTGGTCAGAACTATTTATCTAGTATTCACATGTATGCCAGTTATGTCCACTTTCCTTATAATGATATAAATTGTGCTACAGGGAATTTCTGCTGCCCTTATCCCTTTGGTTTTAGAATGTCTCTGGTCCAGAGGGGGACTACAAAAGAGCTTTGGAAAAAAATGAGAATCGATACTGTGTAACTTGTTGGAAATAAATAGTTAAAATATTTCTTCAGAATGTAGAGAGGAAGAGACTAGCACAGTTCTCATTATTGCAACACTAGAAACAGACAAAAAACAATGGAGAGGAGATCTCAGCATAACAGAACTGGAAGTGTCATTAGCCCCGGTTCTTAGGATAGTTCTAGATGATTTCCTGTGAATCCTGTCTCTTCCCTTGACCTCGAATAAGAATCATCTATTTTACCTCTGTAATACTTTCTCTCTAGTCATGAAATTGTAGTAAGCTAAAAAAATAAGTATGGGGCCTGAGTAGATGTCATATTTGAACCTCATAACCTTTCACTTTTTTTGTTTCTATGCAAATGTTATACCTTCATTTTCTTCTTCCTATCTTTTAAAGGTGTCCTTGTGAATATTATTTTAAATAGTATTAAACAAGCTGCCAATTCTTCAAAACCAAGAAAAATGGAGGTCTACTCTGCAGTGAGTATTTTAATCTTTAATAGATCTTGCTTTGATTTTACCAGTAAAAGACCCTTAAAGAGAATAATCAGTGTTTCCCTGTAAGTTAAGTGAAAGAATAATATAATACAGTTTAATTCAGCTAATAAGCTGAACACCACACAGGACAAGAACACAGCATAAGCATGGCTCTCATCTCAGTTTAAGTCAAACTATACTTGGCAAAGAAAACTATGCATGTTATCATTCAGTTTTCCTATGACTTTATGGTTTATTTTTCCTTAAGTGCTCCAGAGGTAGTGGCACATAGCAGAACTTCAGCTGTACCTCCAAACCTCTCCTTTGTGGTTTTTTTTGTTTGTTTTGGTTTTTTGTTTTGTTTTGTTTTTGGGGTTTTTTTGTTTGTTTTTTTTAATTGTTATTATTTTATTTATTTTAGAGGGTTAAAAGAGCCACTTGGGTCAGAGCAAGATCCACTTAGCTCATTCATTATTCTGTCTTTAACAAGCGCCAAAGGCACAGATGAATGTGAAAATAATGCCAGCACAGAGTGATAAAAGGTTCCAGGCAATCTGTGGCTTAGGGACTGCCTGAGGTGGAATCTATGTCTCTGTGTTTAATAGCTCTTGACAGACTTTCTTCTATCAACTTATATTATCACTTTTTAAATGCATTTATACTCTTGGCCTCTGCAACATCCCGTGACAATGACTTGTGTGTTAAAGTAAAAAAGTACTGATTTAGGTCCTTCCTAGCATTTATATGTTGAGAAAAAGGAAACAGTCAATCTTTATTCACTTTTTCTGGGTCACTCATGAATTTTATATTTTCTGTCATATCTCTTCCATCTTTCCTTTTCTGAGACAGTCTTACCCTATTTAATCTTGCTTCATATAGAAACCACTTGATACCTTAAATCTTTATTGCTGTCCTTTCTACATGATTTCCAGCAATACTACACTCTTTTTGAAAAGGAAAAAGAAATGTATCCAGGTTTTTCACTTCTGCTTTAATATCTTGAGAACAAGTAGACTGTTATTTTTGAAATTGATCATTCTAAAAAGTTCCAGAACCTGAAAAATAATTGCTAGACTACAGATGCTGAAAAATAGATGCTAGACTATAACATAAATAGGCCTAGCAGATATGTATATAAAGATGCTTACTACATTTATGCATCAAAGTGTTGGGACTTCCTTCCTTCAGCTCCTGCTCCTGCTATCCCTGCAAGAGGAGGGATAATGGGGAGAGGGAGAGACTACAGGTGGATGGATAATTGGTTCATAAAAGTAGAAGCCAACTGAGATTTTATTGTATGAGTCCAAACAGAAGGAACAGCAACTAAAAAAAAATTCTGAAGTGGAATCAAGAACAGTTTGCATGTAACTATTTGTCTGGTGTACTATCTAAAGAAAAGAACTTGTATCTTTACTTGAAATGCTGTAGGATATATTACTTTACACTGATTTCATCTGACCTGGGAGCAAAAAACTCTACTGGAGGAAGGAGTAGCAAAATGCACTGAAAAAACTAGATTTATTACTGAGACCACATCTTGCTTTCCCTCAGTATCCCTGTCTCCAAAATACTGCCAGATGGTGTAAGACACATACTGCAGTAACTCTTTGGAAATGTCTCCTGCTGTCTGTAGAACCCATGTTTTTCCCAATGGTGAATATACTGAATACAGTTTTATGGTCAAATTTATACAGCGTTTCTTTTATCTTGATTTCTACTCCCTTTCTATTCTTGTCTAATTACTCTGCATAAATGCTAGTTGACTTAACTGGCTTTCAAGGATGGATTTTTTTTCCCCCCAATAGCATGACACCACAGTTGGGGCTCTCCAGATTGCTCTCAATATTTTCAATGGAAAACTGCCACCATATGCTGCTTGCCAGTTTTTTGAACTCTACCAAGAAAGCAACGGGCAAGTATCTTCTTATCTATGCAAGAACAAGAAGTATTTGGAATTTGTTTCCCCCTTTTTCAAAATAATTTTCCTCTCAAATATTGTGAGGAGATACAATTTTGATTTAAATGGATACGTCAGTGAGCAGTCCATAGGCACAAAGTTATACTAAAACTAAGAAAAAACACATTTGCTGGATGTGCATGTATGTTTGTGCTTTGAAAAACAGGAAGAAGAGGAAAACAAGCCTTATCAGATAGAAGTAAATGATAAAATAAATTTTCCTGATTCTTCAAATGGTAGCAAGAACATTTCCAAGACTTTTCATAAATCCCAAGGCAAACCAATTGGCTTAGAAGAACCTGGTGCTGTTGCCATTCAAGGAGCCTTCTGAAGGACATTTTCAGCTGACTGGTGATCTGTGCAGCAATATAACCAGCTTCAGCAAAGTGGGCTTTGCAGATGTCTTTCACAAAGCCTCCATTCTTGAAGAACAGGTTCTAGAGTAGGATGTTAGAGCCTATTTCCAACATGCTGTCTCCAAATAGGAAATCTTCTATTTAAGAACATTTTTTAAAAAACTTTTCAATGTTGTTAATCAGGCGATATAGCATCGAAATGCATTATAGGAATGACACCTCAAAGGATCCTTACCTGCTCACTTTGCCAGGATGCACCTCTTCTTGTCCACTTGAGAAGTTTGCTGAACTAGTTTCTCCTGTGATAACAGAAAATTGGTCAAAAGAATGTGGGAAGAAAGACAATGTGAAAGGTAGTGTAACAGTTCTGTATTTTCCACATAAGACATGGAGGCAGAAATTGTATCAATGGCTTCAAACTTTGTACCTTTCACACAATAGACAGATTTCCCTTTAACAAATGAGGGCCAGATTTACTATGGACAAAGAAGGTCAACAGAAATTGAATTTCTCTAAAAATGTGAAGAGTAGACTTGCCCACCAGTGTGAAGGCAGTGCTATTTTGAACATACTCATGTAAGGAGCTGCCTAAAGGCCATGGTCAAAACTAGAGCTCTGCTTGTTGAAAATGTCCAAGAGAATTATGAGTGTGGGTGCTACGTAAGGGTCCTGTGTATCTTGGATGCATCAGACCTTCCGTAGATGCAAAGCAAAACTGGCTTGCAAATGCACAGAGTGGTGCATCTGTATTTCTGGCACATGTACTATGTATGGAGGATAACTTAACCTCAGCTGTATGGAGTGCAGCTAATCCATGCAAATATAGGGGCTATTTGCCTCAGCCAACAGCTGAGAGCTGATAACCTCTTCCCACCCAAATATTATTGCCTGGAAGAATGAGAAGACTTTTCCATAGTCACAGTATTTCCTCCTTCCTGCCTATATTCATTATTTTGCTGATCCCTGATGAAATTCTTTTTTTTTTCCCCTCTTACCCTGTGGAAAACTAGAATTAAGATTTGCCCATGCACAGGAAGCTATCTATGTATTTCTAGGATTGAAGTACATGTTCTTATGTTGCATGTGTCAGAAAATGTGATGTTGCCAGAAATACGAACAAAACATACTATATTTCCATTGTACATATTTGTAATTAGACTGTTATGTCTGCATCTAAAATGATACACATATGTCTTTCATTAACTCCCTTTTCCCTTGTTGTTTGTCCTTCACAGATATTTTTATCGGATTTGATGTTGCTGTTGGCTTGTTGTTCATTTTTAACCTTGTACTGCTCTACCTCCTTTATCATTATGGACGCTGCAGGCGCAGAAGCAATTACCAAGACATTTAAAGAGGAGGTAAAGAAACAAAAGAGAGAGGAGCTAGACATTGAACAACACTTGAAGTTGCTGATATCCATCAGTTTGCTCTGGTCCAATTAATCTCCAAAGCATATTCAATAAATTTGAAGAGCTGAGGTATCTGTGGCCTAGCTCCTAAAATTCTAAACAACTTCAGTGAGAAATACTGTAGTAATATGTAATTGTTAAGAATTACTGGATGAATGGAATCACGTTAATTTATATCTTTAGGTTTTCTACTACCATTAATCAATCTTATATCAATGGGTAGGGTGAAGGGATGCTATTGCCTATACTTTTTTTTTAATACTGTCTATAACCATTTAGCCCTTCGCTGCTCAACAAGTCTTTCTTCAAAATCGCAGTCTGTAATATTTTCTTTACTTCTTATAAATGAATATTTTGTTGATACACAGGAAAATGTTTTTAGCGAGCAGAAGCTGCAATCACTGTATGAAAAAGATTCATACCAGCACACGGTCATACTATTTCTGCATTTATTCACGCAAATCTATCAATGAGATTTGACCTTGGCCTTCAGCTAATAAAAGTCTTCAGCCTGCTTTTTAAAGGAGTTACACTACTATAGCTCTCACTGAAATTAGTAGAAAATGGAATAATCTCTGTCACACATCCAGGCATCAAGCAAAAAGCTTAGTGCAACAGCATCTTGGTCAGCATCCACAACTTCAGTAATAAGGATAAGTTAATACATTAAAATCTATTTTCTGCCACTACACTGATTTCCTATTTTTCTGAGCTCTAGGTCATTAATGATCCTTTGCCCTGCAACTTTTCTACAATGTCTCTGTTCTCTGTCCTGCTTCAGGTCCTGTCCATAATTTTATTCTTTTGAGCCACTCTTACAATAACTCCTCAAGCTATCACACTTGTCATCATCTTTAATTTTAATCTACAATAACTGATTTAACTCCCTGCTCTGCTTAAAATCCTGTATGTTAGCAAGGCATGCACTGAAGTAAGAAAACAATGATTCTGCTTTTTGTATTCTGTGCAATATATTTTGTTTAGATTATAAGCTCCTAATGGCAGGGAATGTTTCCATAACTGCTCTCCAGTATCACAAACTAGTATAATAAGCACTAATATTGCTGTATAAAATCCTGCTTATCATCATATGTTTCAAGGGCTGAATCAAGACTTTTATATCCTGTAGTCCTGAAGATGATACTGTGAATTCCATTACCACAGAGAAGTCTTTTCAAAAGTCAGGACAACTATACAAACAGGTGCCAACAGCAGGTTCAGCTCAACAGATACAATGAGTTCAAGCTAATGGGCCCAAGCTAATGCTTCCTGTTGAGATGCACAACTCTAGAGAAAGCTGAGAGATGGAGCTGTTTGGCTCAGGCAAAGCATCACAGCAAAGTGAATACCTTGCATCTGGACTGATGTTCACTCACACTCTCTGGGTTGTAACTTGGAGCCCAGGAGCCTGGGTTAGCTACCACTGATCTAGAGATCAGCCCTCAATATTACAGCTGTAGACACGTCTAAAATGTGAAGTAGTTATATGTAGTGATATTAAATAGCATAAATCAAACAGAATAACAAAGGCTTGTGGGAATGTAGCACCTCCCACATTGCATTTTCCTGTGGTAACTTTGGCTACTGAAGTGTCCACCTTTTGAAACACTATTTCCCACTCAGTAAAAAGCTTTTAGCAGTATCCATGACATTTCCATTTTATTTATTTTGGGAAATACCATAATCAACAGATGGATTTGATGTTTTATTGTATAACAATAAAGGGCAAAGCTGTGAAAGAGATGAAAGGCTGTCCCTAAATCAGATGGTTTAGATGTACAAGCTTCAACTTTTAAGTAGTAGTTCTGATTCTCATGCAAAAACTTAAAGGACTGTCCATATTGCAGTCAAAAGTATTACAGCTGCTCTAGGAAACATGCCTGAGCTGGCTTCATTACTATTAGCACTGTACTCACGGTGGGGAAAAGTTCGGAACAAACTGCAAAACCCATCCTGGCTCCTGAATGTGTGTGTGTGTGTGTATGTGTGTGGTTACTCAGTGTGTGTGTGTGTGTGTGTGTGGTTACTCAGTGGTTACCCAGTGCTGAGCTCTGTACTGCCATGGCCACAATGCTGTGGGTACCCACTTGAGGATAGATTATGTCTTTTATTAGAGGCAGTCAGATGCTTGAAGAGTGAAGATGTATCGTTGACTGATAACAGGCAGTAAGAACTGGTTTTGAGATATCAGAAACTCAATCAGTTGCACTCCACAAGAAGCAGAATGAGGCATGTTTTTTCCAAGATTACTTCTTACAAAAAGAAGTACATTCAGACAGAAAGTAAAATGTGAAGTGTCTGAAATACCTTTTGTGGTTTATATTACTCAAGCTTGAGCTGTAACACAGAGTTTCAGAAGATGAGGCAATTCTAGCTGCTCAGGAGCTGTCATGAAGGAATTTTGTTGTAGGGACACCTTTTTGTTAACAGATAGTTGTACTTGAAAATGTCCATGCACTTTTAGAAAGAATTCAGTGAACACAAGTTACGCCAAATGTAATGGACAGGTTTAGATGATGTAACTTCAAAATAAATGAAGGTACATTAAAGAAGTAATACATTAGTAAAGTAGGCCCTGAATCTCACTTATAGTAAAGGCATTTTGTCTTGCTGTGATTAAATAAAGTAAAATTTCTCCAGTGGAGTAAAAGGTTGTATATGCCAAACAAGTTTCTTGCTTTTCTAATTTTTCAGTCATATTTACAATTTGCTTAGTATAATCTGCAGACTGTTTGGGATTAGAAAATATCTTGTGTCCAAGCAACTTGTAGCACTGCAATAAAGTACATTAAAGAAATGATTCAACATTTGCAATTGTATTTGGCTAAAAAACAATGGAGCTTTCAGTATATCTAGAGTTTCCAAACAAAAGTGAATGTTCAGGTTTGTTGCTTCTGTAAGAACAGATTTTTAGAGCACTGTCGTTTTGACATGAAAAATGCTAACTTTGATGACATCAAGCTCTTCAGTTTGCCCTCTAGCAGTGACATCATCCGTCTCTACAATAATTACAGTAACAACTAGAAGCTCTGCAGCAGGGTTTTCTGGTGCATATGGTAGACAGTAGTGCACACGGAGCACTTTTCAGCTCAGTCAGCAACTACCTCCTCTTACTGAGTTGATTTTGTTCTGGAACTTATTTATTCACAGGTTTGAATATTGCACACATTGGGTTAGCACAGTATAGCCATCTGAATTCCAGAATAACATTGGCTCACCCTGCAGCACTCACAGCCATTTGTCCTGTAATGTAATTTGATCCAAATGATAATATTTCTTCTCACTTAAATATATTTTCTTAGATGTGGTAAGATACAGAAAGCAGAATAACATATGCACTGTATTGGGGGAAAAAAAAAGGAAAATCTATTTAGTTCAAAAATTCTTAAGTTTGGATTAAACTCCAAAAGACAACAGTTACATTTCTAAGTTTTTCTCCACAAATAAAAAATGCTAAAACTTCTACTCTATGAAGAATAATAATGATTTACCATGCTGGAATTTGAAATGGATGGGTAGAGCAAATCCATGTTGAGGTGCTGTCAGCAATACTGCTTAGGATTGTATAGCATTTCTTACAAAGATGGGGATGAAAGATGGAAATTTACCTATTAACAGCTAACTTTATTAATTTAGACAATAATGCTTGTTCATCAGAAGTTGCTGAGTATTAATACTCAAATAAATAAACATGAGTTGCTATTGAAATAAAAGCACATTACTTGAACTATTACATTACTTGGTCTCTTCTATGACTAGGCAACTTCACCTCCAAAAGCATGATAGCACTGGCAAGACCTGCAATACCACGTCTAGGAGATCAGGTGCAATTGGAAAGACAGTTAAAAAGACCAAGTCCTGTTGTGCTAATTTCTGTAATTTTTCTT